TTTTCTGCTCACCTGGTCCCTTTGCAAATAAAACTTCTCTGCCTGCAAATAATATAATATAATATAATATACTTAAAATATGTTGAACTGAGACATCTTGGCCAGTGGAATTTCTGTTACACCAGCTTCCTTAACTCCTTTGTTGTAGTTTTCCCCAAAACTATCTCCATTTTTAAAAGTAAATTGTGGGCCCGGCTCGAAGGTCTAGTGGCTAAATCCTGTCCTTGCATATGCCAGGATCCTGTATGGGTACCAGCTTGAATCTATTTCCCATCCAGCTCTCTCTGTCTCCCCTTATCTCTGTGTATCTGACTTTCCAATAAAATAAATAACTCTTAAAAAAAAAAAAAAGTTAACTGTTCCAGGGCTAGCAGTGTGGCATTGCAGGTAAAGCCACTACCTGCAGTGCCAGCGTCCCACATGGACACCAACTTGAGACCCAGCTGCTCAACTTGCAATCCAGCTCCCTGCTAATGTTCCTAAAAAACCAGCCAAAGATGGCACAAGGTCCTGGGTTCCTGCACCCATATGGGAGAGCTGGAAGACGCACCTGGGCTCCTAATCTAGGTTGGGTCCAGCCCAGGCCATTGCAGCAATTTAAGGACTGAACCAATGGAAAGAACATTCTCTCGCTCTCTCTTATCTCACTCTTGCTCTCTCCCTCACTCTCACTGTAACTCTGCCTTTCCAATAATAAATAAATATTTTTTTAAAAAAATTCTTAAGTTGAAATTTCCCCTGGAGACAGGTAAGAGTTACACAGTAGTTTGAAAATAAACATCATGTGGTTAGAGAAACTGTGGTGTATCTACTCCATGGAATATTACTCAGCCATTAAGAAGAATGAAATGATACCATTTGCCACTAGATGGTCCCAACTAGAGATCATTATGCTCAGGGAAATAAATAAATCCCAAAAAGACCAATACCATATGTTCTCTCTAATATAGGGAAGCCCTCACGCAAAGTGGAATCTATAGTGATGGAGTAATGGAGGCTACCATATCCAGATGTAAAGACACAAGGCAACATGCATCGCTACTTCTAAATCAAAAATGGATTCCCAATGAAACTGTTAGACACATCTAGACAACGGGATGCTGGACTGTCTGGCATTGTCTGTACCGGCAATGTCGAGGCACACTTAAATCACAGGCTGATGGAATTAGAACTCCTGAGGAATAGTTATACTACTGTAACAATATGTGGAGAACCGGTCAGGGGGTGGGAATTGGAAGCGGGGGAAATCCCAGACTCTATGGAATTACATCATAAAATTCAAAATTAAAAGCAAAAATTAAAATTAAAAAAAAAAGAATAAAAGCATCATATTAAAGAAGTAACGTTTGCCAAGAAATGGTGACTGCTTAAACATGGGAGAACCAAAGACGCACCACAAGGAGAGTATGGTTAAACAGGTTTTCTATTTCCAACTTTAACCATTTGATTAATTTGTCTGCGACGAGAATTAGGAGGTCTTGGGTAGATTTAGGCTGAAAGAATACCAACATTGGAGGATCTTACTCTTGGCAGGGAGTCCTGAAGGCGCACAAGTCACAAATGAAAACAAGTGGTCTTTGATCTTCATGTCCCAGCTGTGCTTCACTCTGGCTTCCTGCTAATTTACAGACTGGGAGGCAACAGAAAATGGCTCAAGTGCTTGGATCCATGTCATCCACGTGAGAGACCTGGAATGAATTCTGGGCTACAGACTCCAGCCAATCTTAACTGTTGTAGGTGTTTAGGAAGTATATCGGACAATGGAAGATATTTTTGACTCTATGTCCTTCAGATAAATACATGCATTTTTAAAAGATTTATTTTCATTGGAAAGAGATTTACAGAGAAAGGGGAGACAGAGAGAAAGGTCTTCCATCCATTCATCCACTCCTCAAATGGCTATAACAGCCAGAGCTAAGCCAATCCAGAGCCAGGAGCCAGGAGTTTCTTCCAGGTCTCCCATGAGGGTATAGGGTCCTAAGGTTTTGAGCTATCTTCACTGCTTTCCCAGGCCACAAGCAGGGAGCTGGATGGGAAGTGGAGCAGCTGAGACACAAACTAGAACCTATATAGGATCCCAGCGCTTGCAAGTTGAGGATTAGCCAAGCGGGCCAACATGCCAGGCCCAACATATATTTTAAATCAAAGATTTATTTGTGAGCCTGGTACAGCTACCACCTGGTGGCTGGAGTCCTTGCATTGCAGGCACCAGGATCCCATATGGGCGCTGGTTCATGTCCCAGCTGCTCCACTTCCCATCCAGCTCCCCACCTGTGGCCTGGGAGGACAGTCAGTGATGGCCCATGGCCTTGGGACCCTGCACCTGCATGGGGGACCTGGAAAAGTCTCCTGGCTCCTGGTTTCAGATTTGCTTAGTTCCACCCATTGTGGCCACTTGGGGAATGAACCAGCAAATGGAGGATATTTCTCTCTGTCTCTGCTTCTCTTTGTAGATCCAACTTTCCAATAAAAGTAAATAAATCTTTAAAAAGAAAGATGTATTCATTTTATTTATTTGAAAGTCAGGAGTGACTGATGAGACAGACGCACAGAGATCTTCCATCCACTGATTCAGTTCTCGAATAGTCACTGGGCTAGTTCTGTACCAAGCTGAAACCAGGAGCCAGGAAGTCCATCCCAGTCTCCCCTATGGCTGGCAGGGCTCTAGGCACTGGGCCATCTGCTGCTGCTTTCCCAGCTGTGTTAGCAGGAAGCTGGATGAGAAACAGTGCAGCCAGAACTGACCCGGTGTGCTTCATATAGTGTGTTAACATTGTAAGCAGCATCTAAATCCACTTACCACAACACAAGGCCCAATGCTAACTAATTAAATCATCAAATTTTAATTAACAATATTTTAATCGATGTGAAGGAATAAGATAGAAAGTAAAAGTCGAATCTGTAGGAATGAGATCATTTTAAAATTAGACTAATGGAGTTAACTATTTGGGGACAATATTTTAAATTTATCAAATAATCAGTTTTTCAAATTGATTAATTTGGTAAGTTGATAGCTTGGGATGTAGTACAAAGTCACCTTTACTGGATCTCAATTTGATGCAAATTGTGTTTGCTGTTACGCCAAGGTCAGACCTATTTCAGATTTATTGCAGGTTTTTTTTTTTTCTGCAATATAGAAAATTCTAGCAATGACCAAACATTTCATCTGCATTGTATCAAACCTAAGTAAATTTTCCAATTAACATCTACTGAGAACTGGCTGTGTATAACTGACTGGGCCCTTCTCATAGGCACACAGTTCCAACAACCTTTCAGAATAAAGACATATTCCCATTTTTCAGGTTTGAAAGCAACGCTCGACATTTTAGGTGGCTTTTAGCGGTCTACACAAACCCCCAAATCGTAGGTCCAGCATTGAAACTCTAATCCACATGATGCGAACGCTTCCGCGACAATCTGAAACGATACTGTGACAGCTAACAATTTTATCAAAATGTGTGACAGAGCGCAAGTCAGAATTTTTATGTCCCATGCCTTATGCCTCATGTGTCACAGAAGAGAAATTGCAGGTGGTTGCTCTCCTGGGCTGAGGTTCTGGCATTGTTCATCCGATTGTCTTCTTTAATTTGGGAAAAGCACATTCTTGGGCCTCGCACACTGAGCTGGAATCCACGGGTTGAAGTGTAGACTCTGAGTCGTAAGCAGTTTTCAGGGGATTCTGAGTACTGTACCCCTTGCTGGTCTAGCACCACACCCCAATAGTCCACAGAAAGCACGTCTCTCACAGCATTGACAGGAAGCCTGTCCATAAGCCGAGGACCATGAAATCGGCCATTCAGATTTGTTTAATAAAAACAGAAAAAGTTCACATTCCTCTTTCCAATTTCATTAAACACTGTTGGACCACATGTTAACTCTGCCTCATTTGCCTATGACTTTTCTAATTGCTTAGTTTACCGTGTTAGAATTCTACAGGAGCTGCACCTAGTTTGAGGCAGACAGCCCGTTGTACCGGGATGCCTCTCCCTCTCATAGGGACTCTATATTTCCCAGTGTTCTCTGAGGACTGTAGCATCAACCTCAGAACTCAGCAGAAAGAAAACTTTTTTTTCCCCCCTCAATCGTTGCAGTGGTGGTCCCAGAACTTTGCTCTTTGAATGAGTGCTTGTTTTCCCCGCCTTCCTTGACCAGCTGCTAAACTGTCTCAAGAGCAAAAAAATCCCGCCTGTGCTTAGACCCTCAAACTGTCAGACCTAGCAGTCTGGCAGTGTTTGTTGTTGCTCTGAGCAATTTCCAAAGCGCCTCATACACTCCCAGTCTGCCCTTGAGAAAATGTCAGTCCCAACCCACACATGCACCAGATTACCCTGCCAGCTCCCTCGTCTGCAGAAATAACACCTACAATCTTATCAGTAACAAAGACCTACAGACATTTATCTTGAAAGCAGCCAGAGGATTGATGATTCCGATTTTCAATTCCTGTATTTAAAATTTGCTATGTTCCCATTTTTTTTTTTTTTACTTCTTTATCTTTGGCCCAGAAGAATGAGGTAGAACATGATGTTTTAAAAATATTTTTCTGAAAGGGAAAGTAACAGGGAGACGCACAGGGCAATCTTCCACCCAGTGGTTCATTCCCTAAATCTCCGCAACGACTAACACTGGGGAAACATCATTTATTTTAGGGCTAGAGATAGAGAAACAGTTCTATTGAGCAGGCGGGTGACTGCCATCTTAATGTCCCGTGTATTGCTGTGATTCGTATTAGAAAAAACGAGTGTATACACATGTAACTAAACATGTAACATGGTACCCCACATAACAATCTCTTGTAAAAAAAAAAAATTTTAATGCCACCATTCTTTAACACCAAAAAGAGTTATACCTCCTTTCCAACTGCCACCCCGTTGCTTCAATGCCCAATGCCTCAGAAGGTGTAGGCGACCAGACAACGAGCCGCCACGGGCACACAGGGAGAAAGGAAGTGGGCGGAGTCCTGGCCAACTCCTGCCAATGAACAGAGCTTTCCGGGGCGGAGCCTGCGTGCGGCGTGACGCAAGCACGCTGCGGCCCGCGCTCGGTGGCTGCGAACCTGGGCTGTGGGCTTGAGAGGTGAGCCCGGGTGAGGGGTGCTGCATGAGAGGGGTGCTGCGCGGGTCGTGGGGTGCTGCGCGGGTCGTGGGGTGCTGCGCGGGTCGTGGGGTGCTGCGCGGGTCGAGGAGTGCTGCGCGGGTCGAGGGGTGCTGCTGGGTTATGGGGTGCTGCGTGGGGAGAGGGGTGCTGCTGGGTTATGGGGTGGTGCGCGGGTCGTGGGCTGCTGCGCGGGTCGTGGGCTGCTGCGCGGGCCGTGAGGTGCTGCGCGGGCCGTGACGTGCTGCGCGGGTCGAGGGGTGCTGCGCGGGAAGAGGAGAGCTGCGCGGGCCGTGGGGTGCTGCGTGGGGAGAGGAGTGCTGCGCGGGTTGTGGGGTGCTGCTGGGTTATGGGGTGCTGCACGGGTCGTGGGCTGCTGGCGCGGGTCGAGGGGTGCTGCTGGGTTATGGGGTGCTGCGCGGGTCGAGGAGTGCTGCTGGGTTATGGGGTGCTGCGCGGGTCGTGGGGTACTGCTGGGTTATGGGGTGCTGTGCGGATCGTGGGGTACTGCTGGGTTATGGGGTGCTGTGCGGGTCGTGGGGTGCTGCTGGGTTATGGGGTGCTGTGCGGGTCGTGGGGTGCTGCTGGGTTATGGGGTGCTGTGCGGGTCGTGGGGTGCTGCTGGGTTATGGGGTGCTGTGCGGGTCGTAGGGTGCTGCTGGGTTATGGGGTGCTGCGCGAGTCGTGGGGTGCTGCGTGGGGAGAGGAGAGCTGCGCGGGTCGTGAGGTTCTGTGCAGGTCCTAAGGTGCTGCACAGTTCGTGGGGTACTGCGCGGGTTATGGGGTGGTCAGGAGCTGTTGCGCGGGTGCGGGAGTGCTGTGTGTGTGGAGAGCTGCTTTGCCAGTGCTGCTGCGCTAGTGGAGTGGTGTTGTGGGTGCCAAGGTCAAGGTCTGGGTCCCAGGGGAGGCCACTCCTCCAAGGGCTGGCTTGCTTGCCAGTGGCGGGGCCGTGAGCCTTGAGGGAGAAGGGACTCTCAGCAGTGCCAGCCAACGTTCATTTGCCCCATTAAGCACCTTCCTTGAAGCACGGGTATGATTAGGCCCTGGTGGTCTGGACACTGAGGTTAAAGCAGGTTATAGTACAGTAGTTGAATGCTCCAGATGATTCCATCGCAGACAGGGTGAGCCCTCAGTCCTGCTAGTGAGCACCCCGGCCCAGGTCCTTGGGTCACTCCTGTCCGATTCAGAACCCCGCAATTTAGTTCCTGCTTCCTGGCTTCAGCCGGGCCTAACCCTGGCTGTGATGGACGTCTAGGAGTGGGTCAGCTACTGGAAATTCCCTTCTTTCCTCTGTGTGTGTGTCTTGAATAATAATAACTAATAAACCTGGTGGGGAGCTGAATAATTAAGGACATTGCATATTCAAAAGGGTGAGGTGGAAGAAAATTTGGGAATATGAAGCATGTGTAAAGTGTGACTCTAGAAAACCAACAAACCCTGTTTTTGAACTTCGGTAGTTCTTTTGGCGAGTCTCACCACCAGAACATTAAACTTGAAATTTGCGTTTCAGGTGACCAGAGCCACGTAATGTCAGTTATCCGTTCGTCTGTCCACGCCAAGTGGATTGTGGGGAAGGTGATTGGGACAGCAATGCAGAAAACTGCTAAAGTAAGAGTCACCAGGCTTGTCCTGGATCCCTATCTATTAAAGGTAAGGACCTGCCGTGTTTTCTTTCCTTCTGAAGAATGACTCATTTTTATTTCAAAGGCGGATTTACTGAGAAAAGGAGAAAGAGCTCTTCCATTCACTGATTCAGTCCCCAAATAGCCACAACAGCTGAAACTGAGCTGATCTGAAGCCAGGAGCCAGGAGCTTCTTCTGGAACACGCACATGAGTGCAAGGGCCCTAGGACTTGAACCATCCTCTGTTGCTTTCTCAAAGATCATAAGCAGGGAGCTGGCATCGGAAGTGGAGCAGCCACAACTCAAACCGGTGCCCTGATGGACGATAAGCCTGTTGAGCCATCACGCTGGTCCCAACAGCGTTCCTGTGTTCAAGTGGCGCTGATAAATCGCCTGCTTGGATTAAATTGTGAGCAGAAAGACATTTCCCAGCTGGCAAAAGTGTGCCAAAGCATCGTGCTGGTCAGTGGATGTAATGTGGTTCACCCTCTCGTGCCAGGACCACAGAAGGTTCATTTATTTCAGTTCAGTCTGCTAACTGTTGTGGTCCTTCTGTGTGCAGAGTACAACGGGGGACCGTGTAGGACACCACATCCTTTCCTCCCAGCTTGCTGTAGGAAAGCCAACCCCTCTTAGCAGACATTGAGGCTGAAGCTTGGCGTTCTGTCCAGAGAACCAAGGGAGGAAGGTCACTCCAGGGATGAGGAGCAGGTTAGGGAAGTTTGCCATCGGAAAGCAGGAAATTCTAAAAGGAACAGCCAGCCGATGGTTAGGCGAGGTTGAGCCCGGGCACTGTTCCCCATGGGAATGGCCAGGACAGTTGGAGCTGCACTGAGATGCTTTGTGCCTTGGCTTCCCTTCTTTAAGCAGAAAGAAAGCAAAGGGTGGGAATGGGCAATGGAACGTCCTGCACAAGTTTCAAGATGGAAGTGATAAGGACTGAATTAGAGAGAGAGCTCTGAGTTGGAGTCGGGAGAAAGCAGATTTCAGGAAGGAGCAGGGTGCTATGTTACACGTGCACAGGTAGTTAGGAAAGCTGTTTATGTAAGAGCAGAAACGTAGAGCCCACTGAAGAATGGGGGGTGAGACTGCTGGTCTTAGGAGACCGTGGTTGAAATAGTCATTCCTGGGCCCAGCGTGGTAGCCTAGCACCTGAAGTCCTTGCCTTGCACACTCCAGGATCCCATATGCGCACTAGTTCTAATCCCGTATGGCCCTGCATCTCATCCAGCTCCCTGCTTGTGGCCTGGGAAAGCAGTGGAGGATAACCCAAAGCCTTGAAACCCTGCACCCGCGTGGGAGACCCAGAAGAGGCTCTGGGCTCCTGGCTTCAGATCAGCTCAGCTCCGGCCATTGCGTCCGCTTGGGGAGTGTTAATCAACGGATGGAAGATCTTCCTCTCTCTCCTCCTATCTGTATATCTAACTTTGCAATAAAAATAAATAAATCTTTAAAAAAAGAATTAGTGATTCCTGTTTACCAGCTGTGCGTGTCATTTAACCTCCCTGAGCTTTCTTTAACACTTATTTTATTTGAAAGGCAAAGTTACATAGGAGAGACAGAGAGAGAGAGCTCCTGTCACTGGTTCACTCCCCAGATGATCAGGAGGGCCAAAGCTGGGCCAAGCTGAAGCCAGGAGCATCTTCAGGATCTCTCCTATGGGCGCAGGGGCCCGAGCAGTTGTGCCATCCTCTGGCTGCCCTCCCGCATGTATTAGCAGGAAGCTAAGTCAGAAGTGGAGCAGCCGCTAACAGAATTTGCACCTGTTACTGATGAAGTTAGCCTGCTGGGAGAAGCCCTCTCTCCTGCTCCATTCCTCCAGATAGAGGAAGGGAAAAAAAAAGTGGAAACAGTTGTCTCATTCACTTTCCTCCATTCCTCAACCCTTCCCACCCTAATCAGTGGTCCACATGGGCATCCATCCTTCTCAGCTCTAGAAACATCATCAACATTTTAAAGGAAGAGCTTGCACCCATGTGGGATGCTAGTACTTCAGGTGGCAACTTAACCCGTTTTGCTAGAGTGCCAGCCCCAAACATGTTTTTCTCCTTTTCTCAGTACCTGATACAACAAGTAGTCTTGTTCCAAAGAAGACATGCTTCTAGTTACTATTTGAACTTATTTATAGTTCTTGGAGGCAAACTCAGAGCCAAGTACTTTATGTACATTAGAAGGTTTAAGGGTTGGGAACCTTTTGTCTACTCAGGACCATTGGATGTTCGTGTTGTCATTCATGGACCATATAAAGTTATCAACTTAAAAAAATTAGCCTGGGGCCTGGCACGATAGCATAGAGGTTAAAATCCTCGCTTTCAGCATGCTGGGATCCCATATGGGCGCCGGTTCTAATCCTGGCGGCCCCACTTCCCATCCAGCTCCCTGCTTGTGGCCTGGGAAAGCAGTCGAGGATGGCCCAAAGCTTTGGGACCCTGCACCCGCACATGGGAGACCTGGAGGAAGTTCCTGGCTCCTGGCTTCGGATTGGCTCAGCTCCGATCGTTGCAGCTGCTTGGGGAGTGAACCATTGGACAGAAGCCAATGGTTCTTCTTCTCTGCATATCCGCCTTTTCAATAAAAATAAATCTTTAAAAAAAAAATAGCTTGCTATAAATTTTACAAAACTGCAAATTCTACCTACAGTGGCTTTTACAGTGTCAGACCAAGCAATTTCGCATGCCTTATACTGCCCACCGGCCACGCACCCCCACCCCTCCTCCGAGGGGTGTGGATAGCTTTATCTGGAGTAAAACAGCTGATGGAGAATGTGGCATTCTCATAGACTGGAAAAAGATAATGGGAAGGAAGGTAGGAAGGGACGGTCCTAGAGCCGGGGTGCTGAATTGCTCGAAAGCTCCATGACAAGTTCAGCTCTGGCACATCCTCACACTTGTACCAGGAGTCTCTGTAAGCACCTCATCTTTCCTCCCCTCCCCCCAAGCCCCCCCAAGTCCCGGCTTGTTCTCTGTGCCTTTCCATTGCTTTGCCATAGTCTACCCCACGTTGCCTGATCCCAGAGGGGAGCTCCTGATTTGTGCCTTTGTCTCCACAGTACTTCAATAAGAGAAAGACCTACTTTGCCCACGATGCCCTTGAGCAGTGCACGGTCGGGGATATTGTGCTCCTGAAAGCTTTACCCGTGCCCCGGACAAAGCACGTGAAGCACGAACTGGCCGAGATCATTTTCAAAGTGGGCAGGGTGATAGACCCGGTGACGGGGAAGCCCTGCGCGGGCACCACCTACCTGGAGAGTCCACTCAGTGAGGAAACCACCCACGTGACCCAAAGCCTGAAAGAACTGCAGATCTCGGCCCCTTGAAGGAGGAGCCAGAGAGACGGACCCCTTGGCTTTGCGGAAATGAGAGCTGCCTGCTTTTCATCACAGACCGTCCACTGTCACCTGTAGTATTTATGAAATAGCTAAAGGTGAATGAGGTAAAGGTCTTGCTATAATTTTGTTTTTGTAAGAGCTTATGATCCAGTTTCAAGTTCTCTTAAGTAAACATAACTTATGTTACACTGAGTGTGCCTAGCGATCTGTTTTAGAAGATGTCCTATTTTTTTGCTGCTGTTCCTGGGAATCTTGGGCTTATTTGAGAAATTCTGTTTGGGAGAAGAATTCCATTAGATAGAAACGCAACTGCATTCAGTGAATATTTTTGATAATAGGTACTAAAAACAAAATTTCTTCTTTTTTATAAAATATTTTATTGTTTTGTGATGCTGTTCTACAGGCTCTGAAATTCCCCCTTCCTTCTCCCCAGATCCCCTCCATCCCACTGATTTCCCCTATATCATTACAGTGGGGTAGTCCTTCATAAGCAGTCGTAAGTCCATCATTCTGCTATTTAAGCGTATCCTGATATTGTCGATATGAACAGTGGCACAGAGCCCAGCATCCTGTTGTCAAGATAGATTTAGCGTTTCATTGAGAGTCCATCTTTGTCTGGAAGTAGAGATGCATGCTGCATTGTATCCTCACATCTGGATGTGACAGTCCATTACACAGTTACTATACATCCCCTTAAAAAATGAAAAGCCATAAAGCAACATCGACAACAGGAAGAAAAATAAGTTTTTAAAAAATTGTGTTTTCCTTCTGAGATGAACAGTTCCAAGGCGGAAATAGTCAGTGTGCCTGTGGACACCTTCAGCTTTTTTTTTAATAACTGCGTGGATATGTAGAAAATGAGTTGTAAAAAGTCGTATCACTTAAACCCTGTACCAGGAAAGCCTCTGGGTTTCCAGCAGGTGGAGCTGTGCGGAACCCGTTAGCCTAGCATTCCCCAGAGCGCCTGGTTGGCTTCCCCAGGTGGTGCAATGAGCCGCAGGCTTGTGCCACAGCTGAGCGATTGAGTCCGAGCCGTCTCAAATACAAGCTGAAGTATACCCCGTAATGTACCACTTCAAACAGCTCTTTCCTGAAAATCTCAGTGTAGAGACAGCTCCAGGGAGACGGCATGCTTGTCCTAACAGCTTTGAGCCCCGTCACGCTGCCACACCTGAGAAATGAGTACTGCGCCCTCCCTGCGATATAAAGCACTAATTTAGTGGAACTCCCAGGTCAGGCTGACAGTGCAGAAGGAAAATGCAGCAAGGCCAGCAAAGAAGTGTCCAGTGACCTTTCAGTGGGATGGACTTGACAGCGTTTGTCTCATCAGACAGAGCTGAGAACTCGGGGCACGGCGGCGGACTTGGCCTTGGCGCGGGGCAGGCTGGCGCCCTCCACGCTTGAGGCATGCGGCCTGCATGTGCCTCCTCCTTCTCTGCAGGACTGAGCTCTCCTCCGCCTGGCCCTTTGGGTCTCCACGGCCTCGCTGAGTCTAGATCAGTAATCCCGCCCACAGCCACACACACACACACAGCACTGGGGCTCCCTTCTCACCGGCTTGCAGGGGAACGGGCTGGGGCAAACCCTTACTGCTACCTTTCTGTCCTCCCTGGTGATGCCTGGCGCCAGCGGAGCTTGGCCTCCTAGATGACCAGCTGGAGAGAGAGGTCCAAGGCCGAAAAAGCCTGTTCCTGCTATCCACCTTCGCCCTACTCCCCACGCGGAGACTGGCCCAGCCTTGAGCCACTTTCCCTGACCTCTGCTGCAGCCGCTCCCCTCCTGCATGCCTTGTGCACCCCCCCCCCCCGGACTGCGGTTCACGGCTGTTAACCTTGAGGAGGGTACCCTTCGTAGTGCCTTCCAGTCCCTTGCTCAGGGATGAAGTCGTGTCTTCTGATACGGATGCCCTCCTATTGACCAACCCACCTTCCTTTGGGGACACTCTTCGCTTCCCAGCCAGCACGGGTTACATACATGCTCCCCGTGTGCCCCCCTTTCCTCTGTGTGCCACCCCTTTCTGGCACGGGTACATCCCACCCACCCTGGACGTGACACCTCATGGTTTACGCCCCTGGACTGAAACGAACAGCAACACGGTTATGCCATCCGAGACTACAGGAGAACTTGCTTCTCTACCCAGAACGTTTTTGTTAACAGTGTAACCCCTTCTTGGTAATGAAACATTTCTTTCAAATCATCCGGGGACCAGCCTCTCTCCTTCCCGGGCCGTCTAAGCCACAGCGAGGCTCTTCTTGTGGTTTCAAGCCCTGCATGCCACGCTCTCCTGCCCAAGGGCACCCCTTGTGCCCTTGCCGTGAACTTGGTGCGCTCCGCGCCGGCCTGGAGCGGCTCCCCCTGGCAGCCGTGCCCCGCACTGCAGGAGCGCGCCCCGCCCCAGCCCGGTCGGGCCCCGCCGGGGGAGGGTCCGGCGGCGGCGTCAGCGGAGGCGCCCGGGCGGCGGGAGCCCAGGAACCGGAGCAAGATGGCGTTCCGAGTGCTGCGCGCCCGTGGAGCGGCCTCGCTCGGAGGCCTCCTGCAACGAGCCGCGCCTCGCAGCCTCCTGCCCAGGCTCCGGTAAGCCGCGCACCAGGGAGCGGCCGGGGAGGGGCCGCCTGCGGGGCCGAAGGGCGCGCGCTCCTGGGGCGGCGGGTCTCCATCCCGGCCCGGCGCGCGGCACTCCCCGTCGCGCGCCGGGCTGCCAGTGCCAAGGGCGAGCCGCGGAGCAGAGGCGGCAGGCGGCAGGCAGCGGGGCTCGGCAGGCCGCGCTGGGGCCTCGTCGAGGGCGGAGAGCCTCCCGGCCCACCGGGCTCAAGGTCACGGCGGGGACGGGCCGGGGCGCGCAGCTCCGCCCTCGCCGCGGGAGGCGCCGGCCTGCCCCGCGCCAAGGCCACGTCCGCGCGCCCTGCCGCGGGGGCCTGCTGGACTGTGACCCGAGTGTGGGCCGAGGCAGAGCACGCGCCTGAGGCGTGGGGTCTGCACGCGGCGTGCCGGGTGTCTGCAGAGGGGGGCCGGGTCACTGGAAGCCGGGCAGGAGCGCTTGGTGCCGGGGACCCCCTCGGTGGAAGAGGGGGTGCGAGAGCCAGGCTGTCACTCAGCGAAGTCACTTGATCAGTAATCAGGATGAAGTATTTGTAGGGGTTTCGTGTTGGAGCCTTTTGGTTTTGTTTTGCAACAGCATCTGTCCCCTTGGCATTTCCACGTTAAACAAAGCCCCTGTTAACCTACCTGTAGATTTGCTCTTTAGCTTTCCTATGGTAGTTTGTTTGCTGCTGCTGCTGCTGCTGCTGCTGCTGCTGCTGTGCTGGCGCTGAGTAATACGGATCTGCCAGAGGGTGAGACACAGACACACATATGGTAAAAGGTGTTTGAATCCGCTTTCACAACCTTCAGACTCAGCCAACTTACACCTGCTCTGCAAGTTGTGCGGATTATGATGGGACTTTGGAAAGTTCGTGGAACACTTAGCATCTTTTTAAAGATTTCTTTTGAAAGAGAGACAGAGAACTTTCCCCCACATAGCCTCAACAACCACGGCTGGGCCAAGCCCAAACCAGCAGCTTCATCCTGATCTCCCAGGTGGATGGCAGGGGGCCCAAGCACCTGAGCCGTCTTCTGCTGCTTTTCCTGGGCCTGTTAGCATCCCTGCTAACAGAATACATCAGCCACATCAGAAGTAGAGCAGTCGGGATGAGAACTTGTGCATGCTGGTAGTGCTTTTGCCACTATGCCACAACACTAGCCCCACCCCCTCAGTCCCACTTTATCTTTAAATTACATTTTCTGCATGCTTTTGGAAACCCCTCCTCACGCTTGCATTTAAATTTGGTGTTTGTTTTCAAGTTGATTGACAGGTTGGCGTTATTTTTATGGTCGTTGATCGCCTATGTGGGTTTTTTCCACACAGCAATATGAACCTGTGAAATTTCTGTTTTGTTCGTTTTCGCAAGAGGCAACTAAAACTGAAAATATTTACCCCGTGTGTTTACCCAAGTTACGCAAGGTTACGGAGTCAGTAAAAGGGGTTTGAACTGGGTTTGCCCCCGTACCTCCGCTTCCCACTAGGGTCAAGCCTCGTTGACATTGGAACCCTTATCTCTGACCTGCTTGGTCCATTTGCTGCTTCCTGCCTGGTCTCCACTCTGCCCCGATTGAAGCCATCCTCTAGGACTCAGCCTTGATTCGGTTGAGTCACTGATTTCTGCCAACTGGTGCGTGTGTAGGACGAACTCGAAGCTCTGCTGAAGGGGACGGGACATGATTGCCGTGGTCACTCACAGACACCTGTGTGAGCTCATATCTGGCCCTCTGAGAAGGTGCCATTCAGCTGAGACCTGAAGGGTCAGTGGGTGTGGAAGACCCGAGTGAGGGGCAGGCACTACTGGAAACCCACGAGAAGGGCAGGACAGAATCTGCGAGTGAAAGGGGTGTTGGCTGGAGGAGTAGTGGCCAGGAACAGGGCTAGATGGTTCCACATCTCACAGGACACACCGAGGGCCATCAATGCCATCTGACATCATCCAGACTGTGTTTAAGAGATGTGTTTGGCTTTGGGGAGGAGGTAGCATCAGCCAGGTAAGCGGGGCTGGCTGTGTTTGCTAAGTGTTGTTTGTTCCTTGCGCATGGGCACCTGTTGCTCTGTTGGCTGTTAGGAAATGTCAGTATAAACAAGATAAGGTCTCAAGGCCAGGCAGCAACTAGCTAGTAGTTCAGAGAGCCGAGGGGCAGACAGGATTCGGAGTAGTTTAGACCCTGGTAAAGTTGTGAGACGGCCAGGCCTGCCGTTCAAATGAAGTGGGCAGTTGACCATGTGACTGAAGGAGAAGCCTGGATTGCAGGTAACGTTTGGGAGCCCACAGTGATAGGAAGGCTAAATGCTGATTGGCGCTTGAGTTTCGTTAGACTGTTCTGGGATCGATTGAAAATTTTCCTATTCAAAAGGGATGGATGAGATTGCTTGAAGAAAGAGTGTGGGCAGAGAAGGGGCTGAGGTGTGTCAATATTTACAGGCTGGATCTAGGAGAGGGAGCCAGCACGAGATACTGGGAAAAGGCAGGCGGCAAGGTCACTGTTGTGTGGCAGTGGGCAGGTGTTTCAAGGAAAGGGGTCAGCTGTGCCAGGCGCTGCCAGCTGGGGTATTGTAGATGACCTTGGATGATCAGTTTCTGGAAAGGAGGAGGACATTTTTCTGGGAGACAGCCCTGTCTGCGCATTTGCCAGCTCATCTTCCTTAGCTCTGCTTGGCATCAGGCCCACCTAACACTCGCGTGCCACAGGCACTCGGCGTGCAAGCAGTAACCAAGATTTAACTTCTTTTCCTGCTCCCAAGGCTGCCCCCTCTTGCTTCCTCTCTCACTTCCAGTTGTAGCACACCCTGCATGCAAGTGGCCCAGTCCAGAAATGCAGGGTTGTCACGCAAGCCCATCGCCCCATTCTCCTTGACGCGATCTGTCACTGTCTGGCTGCAGTGTCTGGCCACAGTGCGTCTTGATGCCACCTGCTCCATCCGCGTTGCCCTGGGCTCAGCCCTCAGCAGAGCACTTGTCTTCTTGCTAAGAAGGTGGGCTTGGAGACTTGAGGGAGCAGTGAAGGAATGCTCAGAGGACGCATTGTGTTAGAAACGTCATTGTGATGCAAGGCTTGAGTGGTGATCCTGATCCCTCTTCCACACCCTGCCCAGAAAAGCTGTAAAAACAGTTTGGGGAGACACTGGGGGCATTTTATTGGGAAATAAACATTAGATGTTGCCGGAGCATCTGTGTTAAGAGGGATGAGAGTGTTCATTTTGTCTTTGTCCTTGGGAGATACATGCCGGCACATTCGAGAGTAAAGGATTGCGCCTACACTGTGTTGTCAAAGCAGAGACCATTTAAAATGTGAAACTTTGATAGTTTTAATCCACATACAAGGCATAGAGGTCTTCATTGCACTGTATCAGCTTCTCTGGAGCTTTCCCAAGTGAAGAAACAGGGGAGCATATATGTAGCACAGTGTGGTAGACGGACTTTTGGGGTGAACGCAGGAGTCCACCTCGGGAGCAGGTCCTTCGTCAGCCACCTGCTTCCCTGGCCCGTGCTTCTGCCGTCCACGGAGTTGCACGCTCTTTGGCTTTGAGCAGTGCTTGAGCCCTGTGTAAGCTAGCCTTCCTCCCACAAACACCCATCAAACAGCCGCTTTTTATCTTTCAAAGTCTCTAATAAGTCCCTCGGTGAGTTGGGCCCCATCTTCCCCAAGGGGATTGTGGTCCCAGCCACCACCTTGTGCCGGCATCACACTGGGCTTGGATGGAGTTTGTTATGCAGCAGCAAACAGCTCTGTGATGTCAAGGCCAGCTTTGTTCATCTTTGTGTCCTCAGACTGGCCCAAAACCTGGCATGTGCAGGACGCAGTCAGTAAATATTTGAAGATCGGGTGATTGAAGGCCTCGGTGTTACTGCCGCCTCATCCGGACACCTGAGTGTTAAGTGTGTTTTTCTCCTTTTTATTGTGTTCTGATTAAACAGCAGCACATTCTTTTAAAAAAAAAAAAAATTTCAGGATAGCTTTAAATTTACAGAAGAAACTTTTTTTTTTCACAATACCTTTCTAAATATGCAAAATGTTAGCGTTGCCCTGAGAATTCCAAAGTCCGCCCCCCACCCCAGCTCCCCTACTGCTGTTGCTCATGTGTTAGTGTCCTTGTCACATCCACAGAACACTCCCAACTTCCCCCACTTGTTCTCCCATCTGTTTCCTCCTGCCCCTCCATTAACGCCGTCCTCCACATGCGGTCATGACGTGTGTCTTGTCTTCTCACTCCAGAACCCCTGGACGTGTTCCTTTCCCTGCCGCCATCCTTTTGGGCCGTGCAGTGAGAGTTAGTGACCGCTCCCTGTGTGTGGGGTACTGCTGGGCAGGACCCCCCAGTGGGAAGCATCCATGTGACCTGCCCTTCCTGCTGCTGTCACCTGTCACTGCCAGGCTTCTTTTTTTTACACTCAGCTGTTTTTTTGGAAACTTGCTGGCATTGCATCATGTTTGGGACAAAGTCCAGCTGATGGGCATGGATGGAATCGAACAACCTGGCGCCCTGCCCTCCGGCCTCTGCCCTACTGTCTTCCCACTCCAGTCTACCTCCCCGCATTCTTTACTCTTCCAGAAATAGGATGGACCCATTTCATGATCCACGCCCCATGCTATCCCCTTTGACCACAGTTTTCATCTGCCCTGTGCAGCTGTCTCACTTGCCCTCCAGGATGGAGCCAAACTGTCTACAGAGGTTTTTCCCAGGCCATGCCCTGAGATCCTACAGTGTGTGTGTGTGGGTGTGTGTGTGTGTGTGTGTGTGTGAAAGGCTGTGGTATTCAAGGAAACCCACTGAATTCTTCTGAGACTGCACAAACTGAATCGTTTGGGTATCCCCAGAGCCTGACACGTCACTCCTGTTTCTATTTAAAATCCCCTGTTTTGTAACATGTGCTGCTTCCTGCCCTCTGCGATGTGCCACCCAACGTGGGAGGAGATTTCAAAGAGCTCATGGAAAAACAGAATGAAAAGTGGGTGTTCAAGACACCCTGGTCTCACACTGGACTCAGCTC